AAAAAAAAAAAAAAGAAAGAAAGAAATAAGCTACATATTAAAAAAATAAATGTCAATCTCCATCAGTTTTCCACGTAAAAGACACGTGACTTTTACACACGGGGTCAGAGTTCAAGTGTCCTAAAAAGCCCGCCTTCTAGTTGAGTTGTAGAGAGGCAAACACAAATCTCCCAACTGCCTCGAGACATTCTCCGGAGTCGGGAGCGGCGGGACTCGGCAGATATTTACGTTTTCTCCCCCATCGGTCCATCCCTTCCTCCCTCTTTTGTCTCTACATGGGTGTTAAAGTCGCCAGGGGCCGGGGCACCAAGGAGTGTCTGGGTACAGCAGACAATGGACAGACCTAAACCTGAGAGAGAGGAGGGAAATGAGTGTGACAATGCCTGGAAGCTGCCAACTGGGGATTTCAAAATAAGGCCGTGGATACAATCAGTCACACACACACGCATGCACACAGACAGAGGACAAAGCCAGGAAACTTGTAGTAGTAAAACATGCACCACAAGTGCTTACATAAAGCTTACTACACATGTACGAAAACTATATTTGAAAGCAGACTGCCAAAGCAGCTGTGGGACTACGATGAAGAGATTTAAAAAAAATAAATGAATAAAATAAACTACTGCAGGCTTTACTGATTTTCTATTCCCCTCCATTAGCTGCCAGTAGCTCACAGCGAGCTTATCTCATTAGCTCCCAACATCTAGGCACACTGCCATCAGTGCCTGCTAACAAAGTAGATAAATAAAGAGAATTACCTCAATTCAATACACAACAATATAATTACTGGCCAAAGAGCCAAGGGAGGGGGGAAAGGAGGGAAGGAATCCCCTTAATGTCAGGAAGCGTGTTCTCCAGCCTTTTGTTTTGCTTTGCTTGGATGTGCTATGGTCCTTGAACTGTAAATAATCAGTGAAGGTGACCTTTTTTTTACTGACTATTTTAGAGATCAAACAATTACACAGTGCACAATCCTGTGCTCAACATTACATAAGGAAACAAACTAAACTGCCAATGCCGTTGTCAATCACTTCCAGGGCCAAGTGTAAAGTATGGTAGAGGGGATTATGGTGTGGGGTTGTTTTTCAGGAGTTGGGCTTGGCCAAGCCTTTCCAGTGAAAGGAACTCTTAATGCTTCAACATACCAAGAAATTTTTGGATAATTTCGTGCTCCCAACTTTGTGGGAACCGTTTGGGGATGACCCCTAACATTACTGCGCACCAGTATACAAAACGAGGTCCATAAAGATGTGGATGAGTGAGGTTGGTGTTCTGACCTTAACCTGATAAAACACTTCTGGGATGAAATGGATGCGAGCCAGGCCTCATCTAACATCAGGATCTGACCTCACAAATGAGATTCTGGAAGAATGATCAAAGATTCCCATAAACGCACTCTTATGCTTTGCCGAAAGTTTTCCCAGAAGAGTTGAAGCTGTTAATATGATGTGCTGACATAATAATCCCTCATGTACGTGTGTGTGAGAAGGCAGACAAGCGAATGTTTTTGACAACATACGGTCACACGTTGACACAGAAAGTTTACCTGGTGGGATCTTCTTCTATAGTAAACGGACCTTTCACGTTAACAGTGTTCCTGCTGTTGTCCACTGTGCCATAGCTGAGCGTGACCTGATGGGAGGGCGACATGTATGAGGTTTGTTAGTTTCTTGTCTGTGAGCAAAAGCCAACAAGGCAAAGTTTGTGAAACTCTGAGCAAAAAGGAGAGATCCTCAAATTCTGATGCAGATCTTAATCACGCTCTTTAAAACTGACTGAGTTTGTGCAAGATGTCTCCTCGTCTGCCCTTTTAGTTTCTTTGGCGTCACAATGAGTCTTTGTGTGGACGTGTGTACCTGGTTGTGTATGTCTGACACCAGTCCCAGATTCTCCAGGTGGGAGTGAAACAGCCCTGAGCGGATGAGGCTCACGCCGAGCAGCGCCTCCACGATGTAACCAACCGTGCAGTCGTCGGGGAGGCGGATGTGCTCAGCTGTGGTCATGAAAGTGCCATCGCTAGAACAGAGAAGGAAAGAATCAGTAAATGAGACCTGCAGCTGAAACGATGCCAAGAAAAATTAATTAATTAAAAAATAAATAAAAAATAAAAAATAAAAATCTAATTCATCTTAAGTGAGGGCTTACCTTGCCCAAGGTTTCATCTTCAGGGAGAGGCCACGGCTCAGACAGAACCCCGCTCCTCCGGTGGCAAACCAGAAACGCACTTGCTTCTACACACACACACACACAGCATGAATATAAATGGAGTGTCCACTTTGTTTTGTTGTGCAGCGTCCACAAATCTCTTTTGTAAATTTCTGCATGTCGATAAACAATCTTAGGACCATTGTGTGATAATCACTTGTTTCAGTTTCATGTTTTTATTCTAGAGTAGCTTTGCATATCCCAGTGTCTGAAACAAGCTGTTGTCGCTGCCTTCCAAATAACTTTAAACCAGCTTTATTCTTATTGGTTGCCCCTCTCAAACAGCTAGTGGAAGGGGCTGCTGTACGGTGGCCCTGATCAGTCAAACACTTACAACACCAGCAAATAGGCAAGATAAAAGCTAACAAACCCCCACAAAACACAACTGAAGTGTTTTTGGGGAGACGATAATATGAGAACAGCTGGGGAAGTGACAAGCTAACAGTATCCGGCTAATTACAAACATATTGACACTATTATATGAATCATGGAATTTAAAAAAAAAACAAAAAAAAAAAAACCACCCCCCACACACAGTATCTTTTTCTCCCTGAAAACACTGATGAATCCTCCACCTTAAGCGTGTCTCAGTGTGACCCTTCCCATGTTTTGGTTTCTGTCACTTCCGCAGCTGTTCCATCATGTTACTGTGACATCGTTTTTTCTACTTCTTTTGTGTTTCATTCAACTCCTGTTGTGTTTAGTGCGCTTTTGCAGCATTTTTTTATTTGCCTGGTGTTTTCTTATGTTACAGTCTGTTTGACCTCTCGGGGCCACCGTACTCCCGTCCGTCTGTGACGCCAGGAGTAGAAAGAAAGAAAAAATGTGAGAGAAGGAGGAACAAAAATGTGCAAGCCTGCATAGTTACAAACCTAAAACATTCAATATTTCAATTTTAAGGTAAAACTGTTCTACGAAATCATGCCATATTACCATTTCGTCAGTGCCGGGCCTCTCCGTGGCCTCTATCGGTCGCTCGAGGCTGGGCCGCCCAATGTAAACGTCCTGTGTGTGGCTGTACTGAGATAAGAGTTTCAGCAGGGAGCCTGTGTTCAGGTAGTTATCATCATCAACGTGACAGAACCACCTGCGACATAACAATGCTGTGGGTTAGCAAACTCTGTGTATGTGGGTGTGTGGTGCACAGTGTGGTGTGGGTTGCGCCTTACTTCTTCCCAGAGCTGATAAAAGCGTCATACTCCAGAGACATTTTACAGGACAGCGCTTGACGATTGTGTGCCTGCGAGCAGTTGGTGTTGATCAGGTGAGCTCCTGATGATCAATAAGAAGCAGAAATCAATGATCAAGGCAGCCTCGACTTAAGCAGTGGAGCTGTTCAAGTATTGGATTTCATTATATCCTGACTGCTTCAAAACACCCTTATAAAAACACCCCAATTACACATTTCTGCACTGTGTAATACAATGAGAAGAATAACTGATTGAAAGTTGAACAATTCCATGAGTAAGAGGAGGAAAGGCCTGTTGATCAAACTGAAGTGACTTCCTGCACTTTGTGGAAACATTACTGCCCAGTCAGCAGCCTGGTCCCTGATTTCCTGCCTCGCACACTGTAGATAAGACTGCAGCTACTCAGCAAAACTGCTGTGTGTGTGTGTGTTTGTGTGCTCATATGTGTGTGTGTGTGTGTGTGTCTCTCACCTATTCTTTTCCTCAGTTTCTCATCCTCTCCATCAGTGAACACGTATGTCTGTGGGACAAAGAAAAAAAAAACATGACGGCGGTCATATTATTTCAGTAATCTTTCCCGAGTAGCACAGAAAGAAAAACAGCAACCACGCAGGTGATGACTGCATCAGCATTTCACACATCACATTTGTGATTTCAGGTGAGGCTCATCCCGTTTCCACGAAGCAGCAGTAAGCAGCGCCGACGCTGTGCTGACTGAGCGCCAGGCCAAAGGTAAGCCTCCCGTCTATCAGCAGCGCAGCAGCTGGCTTCGACCCCCTCGCTGCGC